AAGTACGAAATGGTACTAAAATTGGTATTGGATGAAGACATAGACCAGGAATCCACAAATTTGATGTTGAGTTCGCTGTTGGAATTGAGAATTGGAATTGGGAATTGGAATTGAGATATGGGAGTGGTTTTTAAAAATGTGTACTATAATTGTACGGAGAGTACTATGTAGTACTAATTTTAGTATTGGGTGAAGGAATAGAGCTAAAATCCTGAAATTTGATATGGATGTCACTTTTGGTGTCTGTTGTTGAGAGAACGACCCCGATTTGGATATATATACTACAATTGTTGGGATAGTACTAAATGGTACTAAATTTGGTACAATTTTGCATTGGGGGAAGTAATATTGCTGGTAGTTTGAAAGTTTGTGTAAGGTTGCTGTTTATATGCAGCCTGGACACATGTTGGTAGATTTTTAAATTAGTAAATGTGTACGAAAAGTAATAAGTGGTCGTAATTGGGTATTGGGTGAAGGGATAGATATAAAATTCTGAAATTTGCTAATTAGATTACTGATGGTGTCTGTGTTTGAAATTCGGCGGTAGTTTGGAAATGCGTCGCGAATTAGTACAAAAGGTTCTACATGGTACTAAATTTGGCATTTTGTGAAGGGATAAACTGGAATCTCGAAATTTGATATTGATGTCTCTCTTGGCAACTACAATTGAGATTTGGAGGTGCGTTTGGAAATGCGTACTATATTTGTATGAAAAGTACTAAATGGTACTAAATTGTGTATTGGGGAAGGGATAATTAGATTTTAAGGTCACTCTTGGTTTCTAGGCTTGACATATGGAGAAGTTTGAAAAGTTTTGGACATAAAGATCGGATGTTGGTCCATTGTGCAATTATTTTACCAATATCCCCCTGGTAAACTTGGAAATGAAAGATTTTGAAGACTATTAGTGAAAAGTAAATATTTTCTATTATTCTTTCCGAAAAAGGAAAAACTTGAATAGCAACCTGAACCTGGAATAACCTTGAAAATCTGACTCTTTACATCTTACGAGTAGATGAACCTCTTCTGTCACGTTGAAGAAGGTTGATAAAATTGTACTCAGATGTGTGTTAAGTCTTTAGGACTTTTGGTATTAAAAATAGGCTATATAGGTCCATACAGCGGTACCTCCCTTCATTCATTATTTTGATGATTTTAGCGACGTTATTTTTTTAATTTGAAGTTCCTAATGGGTACTATATTTTATGACAGAAAATTGCTCATACATGTCCACGATTTCGTATAGCCCCATATATAGGGTTCCTCCCTAAATTATTCACCAGAATTTTATCAAATTGCGTATTTGAAGTTCCAATGGGTATTACAGTCTATGACAGAAAATTGTATATGCAGGTCCAGGCCTTCGTATTTGCAATTTTTATGATATTTAGAGAATTTAAATTTTTTTTTTCGGAATGGTGAAGGGTACTCAAAGTTCGAAGTGTCCGAAATTACGGCTTTTTCCCTTCTTTTATTTTTTTTTTTTTCAAAAGTGAAGACGTACAAGTCCTTTTATCCTTTCTTTCCTTTAAATAGTTTGGCAAAATGTTCCTAAAATTTCTTATCGCAAATATTCCTTAAGAATTCTAATCCTTTCTACAAATATCTCATCCACTTCTACCTCCCTCCACCCCTCCACATGGCGTTTTGTTTCTTGGTCTTAACATATATCCTAGATTATAATTTGTGGTTAACATAAAGACATTTATCACCTTCGGACCATTTATAAAAGCGGTAATTCGTGGTCTTAAATCCTGGCTGAGAACAAACATATGTACAAAAGTTCGATGGCAGCAGTGTGTTGTCCTTAAGACATCATCCTCTCTACCTTTCGCTCACTCTCTGCGCCTCTTTCGCTCTACCGAGTCTCATTTCTATACTTCTTTGTGTGTGTGAGTGTATGTGTGTGAGTAGTAGTAAAGCATATTATTACCGTTATCCAGATTAACTTCGTGTTCAAATGTTTGCTTTAGACAACTTGATTTGCTGGAGACACACCACTGGCGGGGGTGTGAGTTAAGGCAAGGCATGCCTGGCACACATACATCAAACCATTATCACGACCACCTTCTGTACCACCTTTACACGGTGTGTATACACACACACATTTGCACACCCGCACACACACACCCAAACTACATACATCAATTTTGCTGGCGAAAAATGAAGATTGATAACAGGGCGACAAACTATTTTGTATTCCAAACCAAACGATTTTCGAAACCGTTAAAATGGGATCAACATCTGAATTGATGATAACATTTTACGGAGGAGGCGTGTGTTTGAGTGGGTTGTGGAGCGACGTTTGTTTGTGTAGTGGTGTGAGCGGTGTTGGTAGTGGATGCTTGGCTGCTTTCTTTGCGTTGGTCGGCCTAATGGAATGCATGAATTATGGCCTGAACAGTCAAAGGTTGTGATGGCATGTGCCACCGGCCGGCCTATCCTCCAACAAAGAATGTGATTTTCAATGTGTGTGTGTGTGTGTGTGAGTGCGTTCGTGTAGGTGGCACTTGCCGATAAAAGACATCCTAGCTAAATTGTAGAATATTTCCCTTGAATCGACAGCCACGATTGGTGAAATTTAAAGCATTTTTCTTCCCGTTTTAGAAGTTTGGCAAAATTCTATGAATCTGGGAAAATGTGGCGAAGGGACGAAAACGATGACACGTGTCATGTCACGGCAACATGTGTGTCAATCTCGTTGACTATGAGGAGATTTTTTCCTACAACAAAAAAGTCTGTGACAGAGGAGGAGACATTTCCCTATACAAAAAATAAATTCTCAGCAGTTGAGAAATTCCTCAGGACTGAGGTAGACTTTATAGAAAATAATCCTCAGGACCGGAGGAGAAAAAAGTCTCCTCGGGAGAATTAAAGAAAAAAATCCCCAGGAGACTTTTTTCCCGTATATGAAAAATTCCCCCAGGATCCCTCAGGATCTGAGGTGCATTTTTTTCGTACAGAAATATTTTCCCCAGGACCGGAATAGATTTTTTTATAAAAAAAATCCCCAAGGATTTTTTTTCGTATAGAAAAAAAAAACTCCACAGGACCCGGAGGAGACTTTTTTCGTATAGAAAAAAATCTCCTCAGGACCGGAGGAGACTTTTTTCGTATAGAGAAAAATCTCCTCAGGACCGGAGGAGACTTTTTTCGTATAGAAAAAAATCTCCTCAGAACCGGAGGAGACTTTTTTCGTATAGAAAAAAATCTCCTCAGGACCGGAGGAGGCTTTTTTTCGAATGAAAAAGAGAAAGAAAAGATATTTTTCTATAGAAAAAACTCACCTCAGTAGCTTAGAAGATATTTAGATAGAAAAAACTTACCTGAGTAGCTGAGGAATTTTTTTTCTATAGAAAAAACTCACCTCAGTATCTGAGGAAATTTTTTTTATAGAAAAAACACCTCAGTATCTGAGGAAATTTTTATCTATAGGAAAAACTCACCTCAGTATCTGAGGAAATTTTTATCTATAGAAAAAACTGACCTCAGTATCTGAGGAAATTTTTTCTATCGAAAAAACTCACCTCAGTAGCTGAGGATTTTTCTCTATAGAAAAAAACTCACCTCAGTAGCTGAGGAAAATTTTTTCTATAGAAAAAAACTCACTTCAGTAGCTGAGAAAGAAAAAAACTCACCTCAAAAGTTAAGAAAATTTTTTCTATAGAAAAAAACTCACCTCACTCGCTGAGGAAAATTTTTCTATAGAAAAAAACTCACCTCAGCATCTGAGGAAATTTTTTTCTATAGAAAAAACTCACCTCTGTAACTGAGAATTTCTTTTCTATGGAAAAAACTTACTTCAGCATCTGAGGAAATTTTTTTCTATAGAAAAAACTCACCTCTGTAACTGAGAATTTTTTTTCTATGGAAAAAACTTACTTCAGTAGCTGAGGAAATTTTTTTCTGTGGAAAAAACTCACCTCAGTAGCTGAGGAATTTTTTTTTATAGAAAGACTCACCTCAATCGCTTAGGAAATTTTTTTCTATGGAAAAAACTCACCTGAAGAATTTTTTTCTATAGAAAAAAGTAACCTCAGTAGCTGAAGATTTTTTTTCTATGGAAAAAACTTACTTCAGTAGCTGAGGAAATTTTTTTTTGTAGAAAAATCTTACCTCAGTAGCTGAGGATTTTTTTTCTATAGAAAGACTCACCTCAATAGCTGAGATTATTTTTTCTATGGAAAAAATTCATCTCAGTAGCTGAGGAAAGTTTTTTCTACAGAAAAAAACTCACCTCAGTAGCTGAGGAAAATGTTTTCTACAGAAAAAACTCAACTCAGTAGCTGAGGAAAATTTTTTCTATAGAAAAATCTTACCGTAGTTCCTGAGCATGTTTTTTCCTCCCTCACCTCAATAAAAAATAAAAAAAAATCTAAGTGACCTTCTGAAAATTTTGAACTTTAGGTAAAATCTGCCAGATCGGTTTTCGAAATTTTCCATTGTAACACAGCTAATTAAGTAGTGCCATCCAAGCCTTGAATAACTCATTAAGGTAATCACCTGGAAATTTCATGAAAACATTTCAATCTAATTAAACCAATTAAATATAGATCCAAAATCAATTCAACAGAACCTAATTACCAAAAAATTATCAAAAATATGTGAGGCCAGTCACCAAATTATGATATTTCATGACCGGATCTCAATTTGGTTTCAGCATTTCCCATAGCGATACAAAGCGAAAATGTTGAAAATTGTGGTCATCATTTTGGCAGGGTTGCTTTATTTTTTCTCCGTTACTGAGGTGAGTGTGGCCAACATTTTTTTCAAAAAATAAAAATAAATAAATAAAATAAATAAAAAATAAAATAATAAATAAAAATAATAATAAATAAAATGAAATAGAAAAAATAATTAAATAAAAAAAAAAAGAATAAATAATTAAAAAATTAAATAAATAAAAAAAAAATAAATAAATAACAAATAATTCTTCCCTTCCCATTTTAAAATAGTCCGTCCGCCGACCTTTCAGTATCGAATTTTACAATGTCTCCTGCATGAATGATGGCCAGGTAATGCTGAGAAACGATTGCAACATGATTGCCCTGCCCATGAATCGTTTTATCGTCAATGAGACCCTAGAATTTAGTCAGGATATGGGCGAGAAAATCCAGCTACGTTTTGTCGTCCTTTATAAGATACCCATTGCGTCCAAGGAGCTTCCTTTCTTGAATGTTAGCATGGGCCTGTGTGAGTTATTGGAAAGTAAAATGTCGTCAGTTTTGATGCGTTCGGTGGTTGATGAGTTACGAAAATCCAGTAATTTGCCCTATGCATGTCCCATGAAGAAGGTGAGCTGTGAAGATATTTTTTTTAAATTTCTTTTTTTTTTAATTTTTTTTCTGTTTTTTTTTTTTTTTTTTTTTGTTTTCTGCCAGAACTACATCTACAAGCTGGAAAACTTTACCTTAACTGAATCATTGCTTCCTCCTTACATACCAATTGTAAATTTCAAATTTAGTGTGGAAATGTTTGAGAATGGCAGGTCGTTGGGGTATCTCAAAACTCAGGGGGCCACAATAAAAAGAACATGA